AGAAAGAAAGAAAGAGAAAAAGAGATTCCTATTGTCGTGTTTAATTTAGCGTTAAATTGTTTACATCTCATTAATTGCGCGCAGTGGATAACAACGGTGGGATTCGTTGCAGCAAAAGACTGTCATGATCATCGATGCACGTCAGTCATGAGGGGCCATGGCCCACGTCCCCCTTGGATATCGAGTCATCCATTGCCACGCTCCCAATTCTCGCACGGTCGAAATGCATCCGCTTGTGCTCTGCAATTCCGTGCGCGATACGATCGGAACAGATTTCTTTTTCGATCAAGACATAAATAAAAAAAAATAAGTTAAAGCGGGATAATGGACTTATTCTGTTCATTACTCTGCTCCAGATCCACAGACGTATTTGACCTGGAAATAATCACTTGTAGTGTTTTTACACTTCAACATCGAGAAAATATGAAACGTTATAAAATGGATAATTCTTTTTTTATTTTAGATACATTGTCTTTCTTTTTTAAAAAAATATTCTGTATGAACTTTTAAATATGCAACTCCATCAAACCGCAATAAAAAAACGTTATATTAATTAAAAACTCAATTTTTTTAGAAATACTTTTATAATAAGCCACGTAACATTTATTTCGTTTAATATTTATTTGTATAGTTTCTATTTATTTTTTTTTTAAATTATGAGTAAATCCATATTTATGTTCTCAAATGCCAACAAATAAAAAAACAATCAATAATACAATACACAATATGTTGTTAATAACAATTTTAATTGGAGTGTAAAAAATACCTCAGGTGATCTATATTTTCAGGTCAATGGTTAATATAATAAATTATCTTGATACAGTGAGCTATCTGAAATAATAGTTTGATCTATTCTTTTTAGTCTATTCTATTCGTTAAATGATTCGCAAAACAAGAATAAATTCAAGAATGAATTAAAACAAAAGTTATTATATCAAATACATACGAGGATCTGGTTTTTATTCCTATTCTTCTTATTATCCTTAAATCAGGTTGTATCCTTTCTTTTTAAATTTTTATTGCGCTATCACTCACAGAAACATGTGTACGTGAATGTACATGACGTATACGAATGTGTTGAGTTCGGGTTCGGGCTAAGCCCAAATGACTGTGCGGATCGGTCATCCCGAGAATCGGAACAGATCTCTGTTTCTTCTCGTTCTATATGCTCCATTTCGCATCGATGGGACTTTGAATTGGTGCTCGGAACAATGTCCACTTGCTTTGACTGATTCGTCGAATTTGCAACGCGGTATTGACACAGTTAAGCCGCGTTACTGCGGGAATGATAGCGGCTAGTTTCGATTGCGTATCGAGTACCGCGAAGATAGTTAAGGACATAGTCAGATTTTCATCGTGGAATTTTCTTAGCTTAGTTCATGGCAAACGGAATTTTTCGCTAGTACGATACGAACAAATATGTTAAAAATTTAGTAAAAGACAATATAGCGAAGAGAATTAGGAAAATATTAGGAAAAAGATAAAAAAAATATTCTTACAAAAGACACGATTACTTAAAATATTCCCAAAATCAATAATATTCATTTCTACCAATGTAAATTAACTTTAATTAATCTTGATTTAATTTATTTTCTATCTTTTCCTAATATTAAGAATTAATAAAAGGATAAAGAGTAAATTAAAGATTAGAGTTAAGAATTAAGGAGATTAGAGTTAATTTACATTAAAAGAAATGTATGTAAGATATTTAAATTAATTGTCTCATTAAAAAATCATATACGTTCAGATCGTTACAGCTTTTTACATATGTACATTAAAGTACATGATAAAACATAAAATTTGATTAATATCGCTAGATTTAGTATAATGCATAATAAAGAACATAGACATCCATGCATCTTGATAAACACATCTCATAAAATTAAAATAACTCGGCAACGATTTATTTGCCGATATAAAGCGTAAAAATACCCGTTTACATTGGCGGTCGTAAAATATTTTTAACGGCGTAGCTTTTCTGTCGCCGCTTTAGTAAGCTCGTAAGGGTTTACGGGCTATGATCATAGTATAATTTCATATAATGAGAACTCTGGTACTCGATCGCATGGGGGATACGGCGACTATCTACACGGAATCTCATGCTATCGGCTTTCAATAAGGTTGATAAAGTCAACTACAGGGAGACGCGAGAAGCGAGAATATCAAACGCCTATAAAGGAGATGCAACTCGCGAATAATTCACTCATTATCTGTACCATCTCCTTTCTATTTTAGCAATTTCCAGAAAATGTCGAAAGGCTTGGATGTTCATCTTTTGCAAACATACATCACGAATCTAATCATAGGACCTTATATATTTCGATCTATATAATATTATTAATTAAATGTTACGCAATTAATTAATGCTTAATTCGTCAATTTTGTTCAACTAGTATTGTACATAGATAACTTAATGTACACATTATGGTTAAAGAAAATTGATTGCGTATGGCGCAAAATAATACGATCATGCATTTGACAAATAATATATATAATACAATCTCCGTTTTGCAAATTTTTAAACATTATAGCTTTAAAAATGCTCCTTTTAAAAATAATTAGTGGACTTACCCGTTAGATGACTTCCAGTGAATTCGAAATCATCGTCTTGATCCCAGTGCTTCAAACTCAAGTTCGACAAAGATGTTGCATTGGCAAACTCCAAGTTCGCAAAATGCCAATCCAGTATCTGCCGATCTTTGGATGATAAATAGACGTCGCTGCATTCGAAACAAAAGAAATTTATATTGGTATATATATATAACGTAGATATATAATAGCGTGTGTAGAATATATTGTAGAACGTATATTTACCTAGGAGGTGATGCTTCCAACTCTTGTAGTTTTGCTTCAATTTCTTTTTGTTGATCTGATAATTGATCCCATTCCTAAAGAATAAAATATAAACATATCATATATGTTATCATACATGTCTTATATATTTAATTTTACTATAAAAAAAATATATTTTTATTATATAAACTATATACCTTGCAAACATTATGGAGATCACGTAACTTAGATCGGAGCACAAATTCCTGCGTTATATCTCGAGTTTGTAATTTACTTTCGGTCAATTCTTTATATTGTTTATTCAGTTCCATTAAACGATCCATAATAGAGATCATCTATGACATAAATTAATTATTATTTAATTAATTGTACAATCACATTATTTTTTATAATCACATATTTTAATAAAAAAATGTTTAAAATATTTTAAATTATAATTTATACATACTCTATGCTGATTGGTGATTAATCGTCCTTGCAACGAAAGTACTGAACGTAAATGCGCTACTTGACGCTGCTTTACACCTTGTTCTTGTAAACGTATTACCCATTCTAATGCTTGTCCTAAAGATACTGGACGTGCATTACTACTTTGCTGTCCTCCAGATCCTGCGCTATTTACGTAATTAAAATCTAATTGATGCGATAGATAAGAAGTCGCTTCTAATAATCTATTAAATTCTCTTTCAACCATTTCATCTTTATCTTTGGGAACCTGTAAAAAACATAAAACATACTGCTTGCATTTCATGACATATGATTAATTTTTATTTACATAATTATAAAACAATCATTTCAATACCAAGAGTATTTATAATAACAACTGTATCAAATTTAATAATGTACAGTAATAAAATCTATTTGTTTCATTATTTTATTAAAATAATTCAAACATACCGTTTGACCATCGCTTTCATACAATGGACACTTTTGACGTATCTTATGAAGCTCCATATTAATTTGTTTACTAAGAGTCGTTACAGGATTTCCACCTAGACCTGTAACTACCATTGCTCCTAAATCCGCAATATAATTTGATTTACGAAACGTAGCGATTCGTCCACCAACACGATCCTAAAATGCAAATGAATTAGCAAAACAAATGTAAACTCAAAAATAAACTAAAATAAGATAATTATTTTATATAATGACTAACTCTAGCTAACTTACTCTAGCTTCCAACACAATTACTTCTAAGCCGAATTGTTGCATTTGTTGAGCTGCTGCCAATCCAGCAATACCAGCCCCTATTACAATGACTTTGCCTAACTTTTTAGTCGGTAAAGGCTGCAACCAAATAAATATAGATTATTCATTTCTCTAATATTGATATATATTGTATAGCATCCAGCATCCTCAATTTTAATATTGCATATATTAAACTGATACTGCAATTTGAATTATACATACATATATATTATATAGTATATATAATATAATACATGAATTGTAATATTGATTTATAATATGATATTGAAGATGATAACACTGCTTTGTCAAGTCAAGCATAAGATCCAATTAACTACATATTATATAAATATATATTAAAATTATTCTTCTCATTTCAGTGTTTTATGTTAGAGATATGGTAACCTCTTTTGCACATATTTATTGATATATAGGACCTACAGTTTTTAATGCCAGATCTAAACAGCTGATTAGAAAAAGTTAACATGACAAAGATATTCTTGATAATTTATCATTGCTTTCCAAAATAATAATATTCCAATAATAAATTTCTAATAATCCAACAGATCAAATAAGATCTGATATGTATATTTTAGATGAATTTGACTGTTATGCAACACTCTGTTCCATGATCGCTACTCATTAAAATTTTATAAATGTATGATTTTTAAATTACCTTAAGACGTTTAAAAACTCCAAAGTTTACGAAACCATGTCGCTCTAAAAATGCATGAATCCTACGAGCAAGTACTGTGTCACTGTTATAAGGTGATTCAATTTGTGGTAATACATTTTCGATGATTAACTGCTGTTTTGGATTTTCCAACCAAATTTGCAGCTGAAATTTAATCACATTAGAAAAAGAACAATGAGATCAATCAGTTCAAATACTCACAAGTCTATTCCTAATGTGTAAAAATACTTTCTGTGTTTGTAATAGTCCACCAGCGATATCAGGAAAACAAGCAGCTTCAGTAGATGTCAATTTATCAAACGGAAGACGACTCTGAAAGGCTGCACCTTCCAATCCATTTAACAATTCCTTTACTAAATGTATATACATATAAATTAATATCCCTATCAACATTATTAAATTTAAAACTAATAACTAATTTATAAAATTCACCATGTGGATCTTCATGATCACTATCTTGATCATCATCATCCTTAACCTCAGACTTTGAGACAGAAGGTACAGGAGCAGGTACTGTAGATTCAGAATCCTTTTTTATCTCAATGGATACTTTTTTCTCAGGTGTTACGAGACCAGTTTTAGATTTCTCTGATGTATCCGAGGCATTCTCATCTTCCAACTGATTATACTTTTCCTCCATTTCTCTGTACTCCACCTATAATTAAATGTACCTCTAAATTCATTCCCTCATTAATTAAAAATAAGAGATGCTATATAAAAAAACCCATAAAACATAAATAATAAATTTGTTTAAAAGTAAAACCAAAATAATTGTAAGTAATTAAATAAATACCAAATGACATATTATCATACAAGTGTATACATAACCAAAATACCTATCCTATCTCATGATAAACAGAGTATCTATGATTAATTATGAAATAAATCAGATAAAAATCATTCCTCTCATTTATTATCACATGAAAGATAAAATATAAGCCAGCGTACGATGATTTATTTCAAAATCGATGTTGATGCACTTAACCACAAATGTTAAAATATTTCCGGAATCTGGACAAATCTTAATGAGAAAAATGTGAAAAATACGTACCTTTGCTCTTTTCCTACGGCTCATATCGTGCTGGTTATTTAAATATTAGCTGATTATTTAATATCGGTCCAAAGTGATGGCAATCACAGTTCCTCGAGTTTGTTTTGATGCTTGAAACAGCCGGCACACACATAAAATTCAAGATTGACAGTCATCGGACAATGCGGGAACGCAGCGCCCTCGAGGAATTCTCTGGAAACTAATGCGGTAGACGAATTCGATGAATATCCGGAGATAAGTACAGAGAAAGATATGAACTGTCGGTAACTATACTATGGGTACTTTCTATTTGATGACAATTATTCTATCTTTGTCTCTCTGAATGTCAACAAAGTAGAGCGACAAAGTACAAGAGAACACTAGTGTCGACTTGTGTTGATTTGTGTCAAATGGAAAATACTTTAAGATCAATTCTGTATCTTGAAATGAAGTGAAAATTATAAAAGTGAGCGAATTTACTAGAATACTGATTATTTCATTGGTCAACATCTAATATATTTGCTCACTTTTATAATTTTCATCTTATTTGAAGATACAGAATTGACCCCCTTATCATTCTATGATATACAGAGTGAACCAAAAGTATGGATACAGTCGAATATCTCTAAAGCATTTTTGAAAAAAATATTTCATATAAAAGTTGCAGGATTTTAATAATGCATCAAACTGAGTTTTAATAATATATGTATATTATTAGAGTAATAATATATATTTTGTATGTGTGTGTGTGTGTGTGTGTGTGTGTGTGTGTGTGTGTGTGTGTGTGTGTGTGTGTGTGTGTGTGTGTGTGTGTG